TTGAATTGTTTGGAAAGAGAATTGGCCAGGGACAATGTGGCAACATTCCCAGGCCTGGGAGGATCGTGGGAGAGATTGAAGACCATGAATTTCAAAACAATTAATACGTCGTCAGGTGGTCGAACTTGGCAAGATGAATGCCGTCAATTAAACACAATTTTAACTTTCTTATCTAAGGTGAGAAACCCTTATCTTGATTATACAAAAAAAAAAATTGATTCATATCTATATTATAAATTATTTTTAAAGCTACACGATGTTATAATTTATTTATAAATTATCATTATTAGTGTTGATATATTATTCAAGAAAACAGCAGTTTAAAATATAATTTTAAATTTAAAAAAAAAAGGCGTGAGCAGCTGAGCGTCGTCACTGAAGTCCTTCCTGTTCCTCTTATATTAAAATGAAAAAAAAATATATGAAAATAGATCAAATTGTTTCATTGATGCTAAACACAGAAAGCTTAATTACCCAATGGTTTATTATTTTCAAAAAGTTATAAATTAAATATATACAACTTTAACGCACATACGGAAACATTTGTTCGTAAATATTAGGTCGCTTTAAAAATATTTATTTCGTAAACATATTTTTTTATTAAGCTAAGTAGACTATTAGATTAATTGTCAAACAAGCATTAAGTAGATTTATAATTTTGAGGTATCGAAAAAACGAATAATGGAATACGAATTTCTATTGGATCTTGGAATTTCAAAACACCAAATCCCTGCAGTACCTAAAACAATATCGTAAGATGTGATAACTTTGGGACACTTTTTAAAGTTTTAAGCTACTTCTATCTTTATTTTCATAGTTAAAATGCTGAAAAAATTATTAATATGCAAGGTCAGTTTTCCTATTACAAAATATGGCAGAACAATAACTCTAGAAACAAGAGTATTTTACTAAAAAAAAATTAATTTGTCCTAATCTTACCCCATTGGTTTCGGTAAAATTGGGACAGTGCATTAACTCCTTTAGAAACTGCAGGAAACATGATTTTGTACCAATGTTACCCCACAATATTGTATAGGCTCATTACTTATATAAGAAACGATAAAGAAAATGAGTGTATACCGATTTTATCCAACAATACTATATTTAAGAGCACATGAGAACAATAAATTCGTATAATTGGTACAAGAAAATTACAAATCATAATGTTTTAAACAATTAGGCTTTGAAAATTTAATGAACAAACAGAAAATGTAACAAACATTATTCAAACAATTTGTAGAATCTAGTTTTTGTTAACTGAACCCTCGCCGTCCAATTTTTCCTTTGAATAGTGAATTTTATCAGACATTGAAGGTCATTTCCAATTAGAAGCCGACTTCTTCATGGCCAACATTATTACTTCGGTAATCTGATGTTCGCAGTTCTTGAAGCACAAGCCTAAGTTTCATGAAACAATAATTTTGAAAAAAACAAAACAATGGAAATAAATAAAACCTAACTGTACAACGACTGTAGTGAACTAAGGTTCTCAAGCTGCCCCCAACACAAAGAACGTTTTTACTGACTGAACGAACGGAATCTATCCACCACAAACTAAATTTTACCCGCTGTCCCAAAGTTCAGCTGACCAAATGCATCATTTTAAGTTAATAGAAAAAAAAAAAGTTTTCAATAAAGGGATTTTTTTTCATCCCTTATTTGGGAAGTGTTATATACATAAAATTATAGTTTCATGGTGAATACTCTAGGAAAGTTATATAAAAATCGTTACAGCCATTTTAATGCTGCTATTTATAGAAAAACTGGTTTTCCCACCACCATCTGGAAACATAATGGTGGTGATATCCTCTGAAGGCACTTCCCCTAAACCACAAGCAAAGCCACAATTTGTGTCTACTTAAAATGTCAATTTAATTTAAAAAAAACATTTTATATTAAAATAAAAACAACAAAATATATGTTTATAACTTTTAAATTGTAACATTTGAGAAACACAAAAATGTTTTTACTAACAAAGTAATCCCAGATGAAGAGGCGGACCTCATCCAAAATTTCTACCATTATGTCAGGGCTACCAGATAGTTTTTTTAAGAGTGAATAAGTTTTTAGAGCTTTTCTTAAGGATGAAGAATTTTTATTAAGAATTATGGTAAATTATTATTTACCAAAAGTACATCACTGGAAATAAATAAAAGAATGTTCCCATGGCCAAAGATCCTTCATTGTGGCGTCACATTCTTACTTTCTCGTGTTGGAACTGAATTAAAATTTTCAATAAAAAAAAGTTATGAAACATGAATGGCTGGATTTAAAGTTTGGATGCTCCTAGACTTGAGTATTTACCGGCCTCTTTATACCAACAGAACAATTATCCTCAAGGAGATAATTCAATAATCAATAGATTAAATTAAGACTTTGTTCAACCATTGTCATTGTTGCTTCAAAATTATTTAAGATGTTCTCCTGGCACTGGGTGACCCAGGCCGGGTCTGGTGTACAAATTCAATTGATGAAAATTAGTAGTTCATATCCCGGTGCCGGGGGGAGGGGAGGGAGATTAACTCTAACATTAATCCCTCACCTTCTCCCCTGGTCCAGGAAAAACCTCGGATAGCCAAAAAGATGAGAAAGAAATGGACAAGAAAAAAAAGGAAGGATGTCAAAATTCATTCCTCGGGTCCGCCTTGAAATAAATATTAAGGGATCAGAAGGGAATCGAACCCAGTAATGTGAGTTCCTTGCTCCTATGTGCTTGCCCATTAATCCGTAGTAAAAATTAAAAGGAAGGTAAGTGAAAGTTATGTGATGGATGCCTAATTTCCTTGTTTTCGATTTCTCAACACCCAATCATTTAAATGCAAGACAGAGTAATTAGTTGCCCATAGCATTCTTACTCAAGACACCATTAGGCTCTTAATGGTTAACATAAATTTACTCAGAAGCTGCCTAACTACTACAGTTTCACAACATTTTTCTGACTTTTTCCCACTTGAAACAATTTTTTTCTTAATAATGAAGCTTGGATGTTATGTTCATTTTGGGACCTAAAATGTCATTTAAATCTTTTTATCTGAGTACTCAAGTAAAAAAATGTTGCAGATGGTAGTTAATCAAGATACTGATTAATGGGTTTTTTAATCAGCTATATTTTAATTTGTAATTGTACAAAACAGAATAACAAGAAAGATCTTTAAGTTGCATAAACTTTTTGACAAAAATAAGTCTTTAACAGAGACAATTAACAGGCTCAGTAATTCATAATGAACCAATCAACTATTGGTTCATTATGAAAACAATCTTAACATTAGGATTTTAGATACCTTACAGATGTTAGTTAAGAAAGTGAATAGATTAAGACAGTATCAATTTTATATGTATAAGTATTTTATTTATTTAGATATTACATATATTTAAATATGTTTTATAGTTCATATAAAATATAAATTCAATAGACCGTAAAATATACTAAATAAATTAAAACAAATAATTTAATATTAGTATTATATAATAATTTAAATTATTGTCAAATATTTAATAACATTTCAATAAATAATTCCTAAAATATAAAAACAGCTTTCATTTATTTGTTTGAGTATCAAGATCAGGGCTTTGACAAAAGGGTGGGGAGGGTTGCCTGGTGAGTATAGTAGTTTTATGATTAATGTGTTATAGGCAGTTAACATTGGAATATTATTAGATATATTTATATCTATATCATTTAACATATCCAACATCATAATATATTAAAGCATATAAATTTATATAATATGTGAGGAGGGGCCCTGATTAGGATATAGATTTTATCAACAATTTCGTTGTTCCAAACATAGATATCCATTTATCCTTTAATATTTTAAAATCTTTCTTAAAGATTCCATCATACTGAAACTAAAACTAAGCAACATATAAAAATTACAAACAATCTCAGCTTTTAATAGTCATAGTTTTCACTATTTTATTATATGTAATTATATATAGTTACAAATATACATTTAATAAGCTCCATATGATTATAAATTATGAACCGAGCAAGCACATTCTGGTCATTATATGCATTTAACACTGCTACATAAATATCATTAAAAATAGTTATATTTATGTTTGGTCCACACAAAGCATTCACAAACATATAATGTATCATTGATTATCATAACAATTATTACTTTTTTACATTTCTTATATTAATAGTTAATATATTTCCAGAACTTTCCTAGACAAATGGACAAAGAATGTTGTTGTCCTGATCCAAAAGGCAATAAACTTCAATATGGTGTAAATCAAAATAATTACAATTCGGCAGTTTGTAATTAAAAATAACTATAATAATTGATTTTATAATATTATAAATGAAGCTTTAGAAAACCATAGATTAAACCAACGAGATAAAGTTATGGTCAGAAATGTATGGTACATTAACTGATAGAAATTTTACTAAAAATAAATGCTAACAGTTATCATGTTTTTCCGAAAAATTTTGTTTCCTTTTTATCTGATTGGCTAAAGAAATGTAGGAACTCAAATAAAAATAAACATTTTGAAATTACAACTAAGTAACAAATACATTGTGGTAACTAGACCCGTAGAAAAATTTACAAATAAATTTGTTCTTAAAATAATAAAACAAATTGTCCCTATTGCAGCATGACAAATCTTAATTTTACCAACTTTTCAGTTGTGTAAAAATACATAGGTAAATAGCTATGTATCTCAGTGCAAAATATACACCATAATGCATTAATTTAATATAAAATTAAATTGTATTTTTAATGGAGTGCATCTTAAATTTGAAGTTTAAAATTAAGTTTAAACAATTCATCAACTATAAAGATCTTTAAAATAATGCTAAATGTTTATTATTTGATCTTTTATTTGTTTATATTTTCATATTGTCTTAAATACCTATAATATAATACTCTGAGATAATTCCCGATTTTTAATTATCACTTTTTCATCTAATTCCCTAATAAACCAATAAAGAAAATTGACATGTCTTAAATTTGTTGACACATTAATTCTATAAAATACAGTACAATTTTTTTTTATTAATTAAATTAATTTTGATTTTGCTAAACTGTACTGTTTTTAGATTCATTAGGAGATTTTGAATAAAATGGTATATAAATCCCAAGTTCATTAAAATGAGATATGCCATGCTGCTTATACAGTGACGAAATGCTCTTACAATTATTTTTATAATTACTAAAACTGTAAGGTAATGATGATTGTAGAGTTGTTGTTATTAAGTTGCTGTTGATCATGACTGTACTTAAATGAAGGTACAGTTTTTGTAATCCTTGCCTCAATTGTTAAGGTTACATGCTAAGGTGGAAATTTCTTTCCATGATTCCCTAATGTCTTCTTCTTCTGTGTACCTTGAGCAAATTGCCAAACGAAGAAAGTAGCTACCCTTTATCTTTGATGGTACCAAATGGATTTTTCCATGGCCATTAATCATTTTTAATAATTGTTCATTCAATTCATTTGTACCCTGAAATATAATAAGCATTCATTATTTATGCATAATTATAATAATATTAAAAAGTAGACTCAGCTGGATTTTTTCAACCTAAAATTTTGGTTTGAATAGAGAAATGTCCACACATTTTTTAATGCATCAGCTTGCAGAAATAAAAAAATATCTGATTTTTCATGATTATAATTCAAATTTTTAAAAATATTTTTTTAAATTTTACTATCAATATATATATATATATTGACAAGCTGATAAACCCTACTATAAATAAAAAATATGTATTTGACCCATATCTGTACATAAAATCAAAAATTAAGATTACGTTATTTATAAGTAGGTATAATACAAACCTTAAGTCTGAAACAAACCAGTCCCATGGTTACTTCTGAAAATATCTCGAAACGGCTATCTTCCAGAAGAAGAGATTCAAACAGATGTGCAAGTCCTATCTGTTTTCTTATATGTGCTCGAAGGTTTTCAGCACCATAAAGGCGCATTACGAACCACAGTTTTAGAGCTCTAAATCGCCGACCCAAAGGAATTTGCCAATGCTACAAATAATAATAATAGATAAAGAAACTTGTCAGAGGGAAAGACATGATAAGTATTTTCTATAATATATTACTGTTATAAATATCTTACCCTATAATCGGGAGCTGATCCTTGCATTTCATGTTTGAGATACAGAGGATCCACATTAAAAGCATCAATAACATCTGTTGGGTCCTTCAGCCTACAAAAATACCCAAGATAAATCGATGAAGAATAGACAAAGAGAATTATAGACATGGAGAATTATAAATATTATTTTTGAACATTAATAATTTTTTATTGTTGTCTCCTTTTATTTGAAGCATTACAAAAAGTCACTTCAAATGACTGGTAAATGAAAAACCAAATATTATTAATTTAAAATATTCATTTTACAATATGGCCTACTAAGAAGATGGAAATTTATTCAGTAATAGTTTATTGGGGACACTCTCAGAATCTCTCTATACGAAATCTGACTTGATATCAACTAAGAAGAAAATCACTCTAGCTAGAATATACACACACACACATATATATATATATATATATATATATATATATATATATATATATATATATATATATATATATAGATAGAAGATAGATAGAAAAAAAAAACTTTATTCTGGGACTAAGTCCCTTCAGAATAACAATAATGTACAAAATAATAGAATATTACTGGCCTGAACGTTGAAACAATAAATGAAATTGATAAAATAAAATAAAAAGTAAAGAAAACCTTAGGTGCACAAGCTATATACAATACAGATACTACTATGTACAGAGCATTTAAAATTATGAATAAAACAATTAAAACTATGAACGAATCATTTGAACTATGAACAAAATTATATTTCAGGGTTGAACAACATATATATATACAATATATATATGAAAATAAACAGTTACTTATAATTGAATAAAAAAAAAAATACAAAAAAATGTGTGTGTTGAAATTCCTACGTCGATAGTAGGAAATGCATGTACTATCTCTTACCAAGTGTAATGATTATATGATTGCTACACAATACATATATAATATTAATCGTTAGCTGGTATCTGACTGTTTTTGGAACAGGAATTGGAATAGGAGGTTTTTGAATGTGTACAGGGAAGGGGAATGTCGAATTTTGATCGGGAGGGAATTCCACAAGTTGACAGAACGGGCTATAAAGGAATTTTGGAATGAGGCAGATCTATGAGAAGGGATGTATAGGTCAGAGGGTCGGGATCTTGTAGTGAGTGAATGGATTGAGGACTTAAATTGGAGAAGGTTGTAGGCATAAGAAGGACGATGATCGGTAATGATTTGATAAAGGAAAGTGCCAAGGAAATATTGTCTTCTTAAGGAGGGGAAGAGCCACCCTAACTCAGTGTAGTGGTGGGAGACACGGAGACACTTTATATATATATAAAGAAGAGTTTTTGAAAAAACAAAACAAAATTGATAATATACTTGTCGTTTAATAGCAGGAATGATATGCACGTTTGTGATAAGCCATCCCTGCAAAATCCCGTGTAGCCGAAAGGCAAGGAAGGGTAGGCAAGGGGGGTTGTATTTATTATAAATAAATATATAATATATAATCATGTAATATAAGAAAATATATAGAGAATATAGGATCATGTGTTAATATGAATATAATTATAACCAACCACATGGCGGAGCAGTCAAAGGTGACCAACATCCATTTATGAGGGTTGAAGTTGAAGGAGTCAGCTTTCTCAACACCAGCATTGAGGTACCTGAACTCTGGACAAATGAAAGCAGAACCGGCATAAGCAGCATCCACATGGAGCCAAACTTCACTAGCATTACATACGTCTCCTATTTCTTCCAATGCATCAAAAGAACAGCAGCTGGTAGTTCCAAGAGTTGCAACAACCTTTAATTTAAAATTAATCCATTAGGTTCTTCATAAGTAAAAAAAAAAAGGTTCTGTTTTTGCATAAGTTTAATATAATGATAAATTTTTATTTTTGTTAAAAATTAATAGCTAATTAATACAAAGTGCTATGTTTGTTGTTTATAACACAATTGCCATTATATATATAAACGAAATTTATTTTAATTTAAAAAAAACTATATACTGCATGTAAATTAATAATAATAAATAGTGCTATATAATAATAATAATAATACTTTATTTATTCTGGGACGAGTCCCTTTAGAATAATACAGGAAGACAGAAATGAGGGCTAAGGAGCCTCAGAGATATATAAATAAAAATACAGAGTAATTGAACAGTCTTGGTTCAATAATATATATAAAAAAAATAATATATATATATATATATACACATATACATATAAGTTGCTTTCCAATTTTGATCAGTTGATAATAAAAGAGAAAAAAAAAAATAGATAAACAAAAATTGGAGAACAAATAATGAAGAACAAACTAATAACTTATGTACATATTTTCAGTAGTATCTATTTACGATTTTATGGGGACTAGATGGATAAGAAATGATTGAACAGGCGGGATTTAAAGGTAGGAAGGGTATTAGATTGATGGATATGGGAAGGGATGGAGTTCCATAGAGATGAGGATCGGATAATGAACGATTTGTCGAAAGCAGCGGTTCGGTGGGCCCTTATGTATAAATCAGAAGACCGGGAACGAGTATTGCGGGAACGAACAGAGGATTTGAATTGAAGGAGCTCGGAGATGTATGAGGGACGGTGGGATTGGATGACTTGAAAGAGGAAGGATGCCAGGAAATACTTACGACGGTAGGAAGGATAAAGCCAATTTAACTCCGCGTAAAGATGGGAAACAGAGGCGTCCCTTGGGATCCCGAAGATGAATCGTACAAAGCAATTTATCAAACGTTTTAGTTTCGCCTCGAGATCCCCAGAGAGGCCCCCATATACCGTACAGCAATAGTCAAAGTGGGGAAAAATTAAGGAAGTGACTAGGAGCCTACGGGTTTCAAAAGGAAATAGGTGACGGGAGTAGTTAAGACGTTTTAGGATGGAAATGGTACAGCGGGAAATATTGCATATATGATTTTTCCAAGAAAGCGTTTGATCAATGGTTATTCCAAGATTTTTGATGGTGGAGTGAAATTTGATGGGGTTGTTATGTAGGAACAGAGTTGGAATAGTAGAGACAGTTTTAAGGAGGTGATTGGAGCCTATTAAGATTGCCTTTGTCTTATCCGCATTCAACTTCAGCTTGTTTGTTCTTGCCCAGTCACAAATTCCATCTAAGTCTTCTTGAAGTTTGTCTGTGGCAGATAATAGGTCGGAGGGCGGAAAGGAAAGGTATATTTGGAAATCATCTGCATAGATGTGGTATCGGGAGTGACTGATCTGGAGGGGAAGATCATTGATGTAAATAGCAAACGGAGTAGGAGAGAGAGAGGAACCCTGAGGGACACCACAGGAGAGGGGAAGTGTGTTTGAAGGAGGTTGATCAGGGACTACTACATACTGGGATCGATTGGAAAGGAAGGATTTGAACCAATGCAGGACACTGTTGGATAGAGGAAGGTTTTGCAATTTGGTAAGAAGGATGTTATAGTGCTATGTAATTTTGGGTCCTTAGTAGATATGGATCTAAGGATGATCTGAAATAGCCAAAATGTAATGAAAAAAAAATATAGATAAAGCAAACATGGTCTTACTAATTTTAATTAATTATTTATGTTTTAAAGATATTCTTTGCCTATGTTACTACAATACCTTCATTATCTATCATGCCTTCCCATTGTCTTCAATCTTATGTTATTTGCTTATGTCTAAAATAATTGAATTCATAATGAATGTAATTTTGATGTAAACATTCTAAACATACTTACATAAAATGGAATAAGACCAGCCTTCTTGTCTTCTTCAATGGCAGCTTTGAGAGTGTCGCCCCTGAGTCTGTGCCTTTCGTCAGTATCTAGAAGCCTTAATCTAACCCCTCCCAGTAATCCAGCACGTTCAACTGAAGAATGGGCTTGTTCTGTGGAATTTTATTTTACAAATCAGTAATATTTTTGTTAATATCAGACATTATTATTGAATGTTAGTATTTAGTAAGACTAGTATCAAGACAAAAGATAATGATTCCGGGTAAAAAAAGGAGTAAAATAATAGAAAATGAATAACATAACATCCAAATTCTTAAACTATTTTAATTTTTAAATATATTTTGTTTTAAATGCAAATATGAATTCTTCAATGACAAATAAATATTTATCTTTTGATGTTATTACATGAAATAAAAAAATAAGAATACTTACGTGAGCAATATCCAACTAGTTTTGAAATGATCTCATAATCGGTCAATTCTGGATTCTGTGCTTTGGCTTTTCTTATCGCTTTTGCTTTAGCACCAAGTAATGCTACAAGTGTTGCTTCACTGGCTGTTCCCTGATGAAAAGGTTTAGTAGAGAAATTAAATACGGAATAAAATAAATAATAAAATAATTTTCTAGTTAGGTTAATTAATATTATGATTATTTCTGTAAATGAAGCTAATAATAATACTTACTCTACCTACTATTGATGCTTGAATTAATAAATTTTTAATAATTTATTTTAACAAATAAAACATCATTATAACAAATAAAGAATCTGTTAGTTTGAAAGGGCTTGAAATTGCAGAAACTACCAGATTGATTTGAAAAATTATTTTTGGGTAAGATAGACAATGTATTAAAGAAAGCTTTAGGCCTAATATCATCACTCTTCAACCAACAGGAATAAAACAGTAACCATGAACATAAATCAATCTGGAAAGCTAAGGGTAATCAAGCAAGCATAACTAATCAAGTAAGCATAGCAATATAAATATTGTTTGTAATCACTATATATAATGAGCAAGGATAGTCTTTTATGCATATTAGAGTAGACTTATAAGAAGACTGTTTTCACATGGACTAACTATACGTTGCCTCAACTAGATCAGGTTATGGATTAAACAAGAACGAATGGAAATAACGATTATGCATATGTTAGTTTTGGATGAACATACCTGTATTACACCACCAGCTTTTCCACCAGAACTAGCAAGGAATTCTTTAGGTAAATCAAGTAACTTGCCAAGCCAGTCAAGCATAACAACTTCCAACTCAGTGCAAGCAGGTGATGCAATCTAGAAATAATTGAAATTACTTTTAAAAAAATATTTATAACATTATACAATAATTTATAGCTAATGTTATAGAATTTAAACATTAAAACATTGTGATCATATCAATATTGATTGTTGATAAAACAGCGTCAATTAAATCATGTTAATATAGTCTATCTTGATAAATAATTTGTGATTGAAATATTGTGCATTAGATTAAAATCTTAAATGAAAAAGGATATTAAAGAATGTGGAGTATTAAGACGATCATATTATAGAGAAAGTATCATAAGACGAAGTGACAGACCAGGACAAAGAGAATTTATTTATAATTTTTTTTTAAATTATGCTTTAATATAAAATTATATTTCAAAATATTGGGTTCAAGAGTTGTTTTATATAGAAGTAATTCAATTTTTTTTTATTTTGAAATATTCATATAATTAAACTTGCAATATTCTGTCTCGTATGCAATAATTATATGTTTTCGAAATTGGATATTGAATCAATCTTACAAACATAGTATTTCAATTACCATAACAAATTAATAAGTTAATATTAACTGTTTATTAGAACCTCAAATATATTTTTATTTGATTTAATTCATAGTAAAAATATAATAATTGCTAAAATAAAGGTGAAATATAATAATATGTTACATTAAGTTTATAAATAGCATCGTTTACAAGTATCCCTCCAAGCATCTTCGGCATTATGATTGTTATGATTATGATAATAGGAGTAAGATAAAGATTAGGTCACCCTTATTGTTCTGAATGACACACAACGTATGGTACGAATGACAATGAAAGTACTGTTTCTCTAATAGTATGAAGAAACTACTTTTTATTTTATTTTTTTTAATCACACATGATACATAATAATTTGGCTATACTTGTTCAAACAAAACTACCGTGATATTGAAACTATCTTTGAAAAAGGAGTATTTAATTTTTATTAGTAAAATTTAAAGTTAAAAAATTCTGTTTTTAATTCTTGGTTGAATGCTGATCATAATATGTTTGGACACAACCCATTTTGAGATTAAAAATTAAAGTTATTTCAAGACGAGAGAAAAACTAATCGACTGGACCGTTAAAGTAAAAATGATTATATTTAAGTTTTAAAATTTTACGTAATGACATAAATAATCATCACTAAAAAAAATTTTTTTTTTTCTAAGAAGCTACTAAAAACTCTACTCATTTAATTTCATACAGTAAACTTACCCATGTAAAGCCTATGCAAGCGATAGCATCACTCAACATATCAGCCACAATGGCAGGGTAAGAATTAGCAGTAGGGAAATAAGCATGGAATCTAGGCGAGTGCCAATGGGTGACCTGGAAAAAAAATTGTAAACAATATAAATTCAATAAAAAATATAACTATATTTGTTAATGTAGTAAAATATATGGAATATATAGAACCTTACCCCAGGCATGATAACTCTTTCTAGATCCTCCATGATATCCTGCCATTTTTCAGGTGACTCTGGAGCACTGGCTGGTACTAATGGCCTTAAGTACCCTGGCTCGACCGTAGGTAAGACAGGCCTTAAATAATAATTGTAATATTATTGTTTTAAAAATGTAATCAGATTTTTGTTTTTATATCCAAGAATAAGAACCCTGGGTGACTATATAAATAAGAAGACAATTAAGAAAGAGAAGAAGCGGTAGATAAAGCTATCCAACATGACACATACTTGGGAAATGGAAAAAAGTTTAGTTTGTATGTGCCATTATACTAAGTAATTTCTTGATGGCAGAATATTGCTTGTTTCAGCCCTCATTAGCTGAAGGCGGATAAACACAAAATGTGTATGATCCATGCAGGGACTTGATAATTGTTTGTTGAAATTTATGGGATTTTTCAAATAAAGAAAACAAATAAATATGTAAAAAGCGAATAAAAAAATTATCAAAAGAAAAAAAAATATGGTCCTTGTTTTAGGTTCTTGTACCTAAGTCTATAAACCAATGATAATATATATTATATAATATAAATAAAATCTTACCTCTCCCTTATATTTTCCAAGTAATTGGCAATGTACTCAGACATTGCCTGAGAAAATTCTTTGAATGATTTGTGATCCATCACGGAATCTGAAAATAAAATCATAATCTGAAATTAAAATACAAATTATGGGTGAGGAGGAGGTCAATTGTACATTCATGGTTTTAGTGGGAGGGGTAGATACATCCTGACCTCCTCCCGCAAAAAGATAAGAATAAGTTTATTCTAACGAAAGAAGGTTCAGTAAATCTTTCAGAACTTCAAGGAAGGATTGTGGCAGATTCAAATAAATGGAGGACGTGATTAAGCAGTTGATGGTGGGTAACTACTCATAATAGCTCTAATGTTCCTACGATCTATTCATGGTTGGAAGCGAAATAGGTCCTCCCTGCTTATTGGGTGCCATAATCCCTCACAGGGCATAAGCTTCATGCCTTATAGAAGGAAATTAATTCCCAATGTTCCTGATGTGGTGGTCCAGAAACTAATGAGCATGACGCCACGACCTACACCGCTTCTGAAACAATAGGGGCCATAGTACTGATGGAAACTAGATTCTACATTGTCACGAGGACAATTTCCCTCAGGTAGTATGGAAAGATACTATGATGGTTTCGTGTACGGGTGGAAGGAACTAGTGAGGATTGATCATTTAAACCTCATCCAATAAATTATAAGAACGAAAAATTATAGAATATATGGCAGAAATAGCGCGATGCTTCTGCCAGAAACCCGTGTTTCCTAGCGTCAAGAAAGGATTGAAATAAAAAAAACAACAAAACATTGTAAATTTAGAATAAGACGAGTTCCTAACCTCAGCGCTGTTTTTGTTAATATCGAGTGTATAAAAGCCTTAGGCTTAGTGTATTCATATTGGTAAATAAGCAACAGAAACGTCTTAAGGCGCAGTGGATAAATTTTCATTAAAATTTCTTAATACTTACACACATATACACACTAGCGGATCAAAGATTTTATTTGAGGGCTTCAGCCCAAAAGGTTTTTTTTATTCACAAAAATAACGAAAATTAATTTGGAAAAAAGAAAGAAACTAACTACTTATGGTGTTTAAGTGATTCCTAAATTCCTTTTAAATGTAATTACACGAACAATAATACTTTAAGATTTTTAATATTTTTTTCAAAAAAAAAAAAATATATATTACCAATTTCGGGAAGGGAGAGGCTTCAGCCCCCCGTAGATTCGCCCGTGCATATACAAGGTATGAGGTATTATTTATTAAAGAATTAAATTTAATTAAAGAAATTCTGAAAAACCGTTTGAAGCATATCGACCTGTGAGGGTGTTGAGTGCATGCGGCTGTTGATGTCAATGACAGCTCTATTGAGACGGTGACCGACCCCTCTGCACCAATATATTCAAATTCACCAGAGAATTCAAAAATATCTTTCTAACAACTTTTTTAACGTTTGATATCGTCTCCATTACATGCTTTCTTTTCCACTGATATTTAGTTTACTTTTTATGGTGTGAATATTTTAAAAATCAGCTAACATATATTTTTAAAAATTGTAAAAAGAAAAATTATATATTTTTTTTAAAGTACGAAAAGTTTGGATGCACAAGAAAATATATGCGCAGGGAAAATACATGTGAACAGGGAAATATATACATATAACTAAAATCTCTAAGAAAACGTAACCTCACCTTCCATAAACTATTTTATGGAACTAAATTGGTTTCTTGACGGAGGATGACTTTTCAGTTTTTTGATAACAGTACTGTATTTTTCAAATATTTAACCAGTTTTATTGTTTTGGTGCAAGAATTAAGGTCCATAGATAAACGTATAGAGAATGTAAAGTATTTTATAAGAAAGAATTGCAAACTATTGCGTTAAACGTGGTTTTTATTTCATGGCTCATATCAAGTTTTGTTTTAAAATAGGTATAATAGTTAGAGGTGGTTTATAGGTCACCTTTCTAGTGCCAAGACCAGAGCAAGGTGATCGGGGGCTAACCTTCATAACTGTATCACCCGGCGGGGTAAGGATAGAATTACGGAACACATCTAGAAGGGCGGGGCTCTAATACCCTTCGCAACAATAATATAAAATACATTTTATAATGTACAGGCTGTATCACAACAATTGGCAACATTCAAGGAGTCGAATGTCCTACTCAATTAGACAAAGAACTTGCATTTATCAAACCTCAAAAAGTTTTTTATTTCGGATGAAATGGGCATTTTATTTTTTCCACAAAAATTCATTAAAAATAAATACAACGGTTCATCATTTCTCTACTGGGATAAAGTTAAATCTGACTACGGATTCTTTTTCTTCGCTCGATTTCTTAATAGAAAACTACATATCGAAAATCTAAAATAGTATAAAAAGTAAATTAATTTAAAGTAAAATAATAATTTTTTTTTTTCCAATTTTCAGAAATTTTTACTTCACTTGAAATTTCCACCATCAAACGGTATCAAGCTCCAAACTTGACCAATATTTTGAAAATTTGTCATTTCAGTCCTGTTAGATAACAGTAATGAGGATTAGACCTGCTTTATAAAAAAAAACACTTAATTCTTTCCAGGACGTGGTAATTTCTTAATTGCGACCACTGAAAGAGTGCATACATCAAGATTGGCAGACTTTATGGGACAACAGCCCTCCAAATAAATTAAAGGTGATAAAAAAGGAAGTGAAGCCAAGAATTAGTTCCAGTCGCTGTAAACGCAGAGAGGAAGTTGTCCTTATGCGACCAAGAATAGGTCATACCAGGCTTACGCACCTTCACTTAATTACAAACGAAAACACCCCCATTTGTCGGTGGAGTGTGGAGAGAGAATGACAGTGGCCCATATCTTAGAGGGTTGTGCCTTTAATATCAGAGAAACAAAACAGGAATACCACCAAACATATCGGGTGCATTGGGAAATGATGAAAAAATCTTGAGCAAAATTATATGCTTTCTCTCTGAAGAAGGAATGTTTAAAAATCTCTGAACCTCTCACGCAGCACTCCCCGCTTCTTTTTTCCTTTTATCTTTATTTTTATTTTTACTTAACTTGCTCTAAACTTTAATAACCCTTAACAACTTTATATATATAATAATACACAATTTTAATTGACGGCACTAATGACCAACAGATTTTACGCCTTTACTACACAACAACCAACCACTTAACTCTACATTAGATGAATGGTTTTTATCAAAATGTTTAGAACAATTCGAAATCGTAAAAATGTTCATCGATGAAATGAAATGCCGCTTCAGGTTAGTCGATTTTGACGAAAATGTTGCAGTAACATCTCTGGCATATATCTTCTTTAAATAAGTAATTTCAGTTTGACTTTCCGTTTTTCAGCTCGGATATTTACATACAGACAGAAACAAACACAAATAGTTTTGCAAAGCTACTTTATTTGGACTCAAGAGACCTTAAAGCATGTATTTTCATTGAAAAGTTGGTGTCGAAATTTTTCACGACCGCAATACTTGATCTTACATATACATATATGTATAGATATTTATTTTATTCATGAGTAAGTGAAAGTAAAAATTAATAGAACATTTTTTTATTGATTATTTCATGGAATATATTAGGTTTGTTCCTCCCTTACTATGAATGAATATTTTCATATGCTTGTTTTTTAACCAAGGGCAGTGAACATTTCAATAAATAACTAAACCGCAAGAAGTGTAACAGTGTGTTCATTTTGCGGTATTCTTAGGCTAGATGGAACAGTGGAATTTCATGAATTGCGGTTTCTTAAACTTGAAAATATCATAGGGAAAGGATAGTGCTACAAGACGCTTTGAATCAGGCGTGTCCAGAAGCGAGCGGGTTTCATGACGCAAGTTGCGCCATCAAAATTTTTGAGGGGGGAATATTTTTACGGGTTTTCGAATTTTTGATGGAGGCAAATTTAGTCGAGGTTATGAATTTTTAGAGTAAGGCACAAGGGAAAAACATGGGACATACCACAGCGAGTGTAATTGTATATGATCTACGATTTTTCTAATTCTACCTTAGCTTGCTCTGTTTTGAAGAAAACTGAGCAATATAATTTCTTGGGAGGACGGGAGGGGGAGTACGTATTTGTGACGTCGAGCTTGGGAGGGATGGGTACCCCTGCTTTGAATGATTTAAAATCCTCTTAACAGAGTCTGCATGAATCTGATATAATAAGGATATTTTCTTTCAAGGTCCAGAAATATTTGCCAGGATTATCAATAAAAGATAAACTATAAAAGATTATAAAAAGATTGTTATGATTTTTGATAGAGAACTGATCTCGTTGGTTCCTAGTCAGTTCTCTATATATTAATATATCTATACACACGGGCGGATCTATGAGGGAGGTTTCGGGCTGAAGCCCCCCCCCCTTCCCCAAAAATGGTTAAATGTAACCATGTTTTTTGGAGAAAATTTTTTTAAAAAATACCTCTTAAAGTATTATTGTTCGTGTAATTACATTTAAAAGGACTTAAGGAATCACTTAAACACCTTTTCATATAGGTAGTTAGTTTCTTTCTGTTTTTCCAAAGTAATTATCGTTATTTTTATGAAAATAAAAGCTTTCAGGCTGAAGCCCCCTCTCTCCCAAAATTAAATCCTGGATGTAATCTGGAGTTAGTGTCTGTAGAGATATATAATATTATATTAATACGAACGATATATTTTTATTGTGGGCAATCGTAATGTAAATAGGATCCATAGTTTACAAATCTATAGAAAGCTTAAATATAAATATCGATACTTCAAGCAATCACGTTTAAAATCTTTGAAAGAATTGGAAGAGTGCTGGCACTGAATTGAAGTCTTAGATTTGAAGAAAACAATTAAATATTAATATTTATCACACAAAAAATGTATAAATGTATTATTAATAACATATTAGTTTAATTAATGTTTTCTAGTTATTTTAAAGTATTTGAAAATATTTTTTGATGTGTTAATGCATGTGAGACAGCTCCTTATAAAATAAATTCCTACAAGATATATCAACTTAATTTTTTTTCTTTTTGAGAAAGAATCACAAACTATAGGTTTTCGATAGTTATTTTTTAATATTTATATTAAGATTTTATTATTATTAGTTATACATATTCCTGGCTCA